AGTGACATGCCGATGACATAGATTTCACCATAAATGTACAGTGACATGCCGATGACATAGATTTCACCATAAATGTACAGTGACATGCCGATGACATAGATTTCACCATAAAATCTGTGACAGGCCGGTGACATAAAAAGTTGAGGTACTTTGTCAGTAAAAGTAATATGTTGTGTGTGTGTGGATGTGGATGCATGTGGATGTGATGGATGGGGGTACATTTCAGAGTCGATTCGGTGGAAGTATGGTTTAATAAACAAAACAAATAACTTTCGTCGTGGGGTGGTTGGGGCGGGGGCGCCATGGGGGGGGGGGGTGTGGGTACTTATGGGGGGGGGGGAAAGTGGCAGGAAAGTTATGATCATAAATCAAAAGCCTCATGATAAGATAATAATAAAGAGGCATTTTACAAATATTTATTGAGTTTTGAGTGAGGCGTCAACATCGACCGTTCATTGATGTGTGTGGCTCAATATTTCTATAAATAGGAGACCTGAGCCATGCACAAGACTTTAAGATTTTAATTTACAATTTCAAGACTTTAATTTTTTATGGGTATGTACATTTTTAACGTTTTTTCTAAGGTATGTCCATTTATATGTTTTTAGGGTATGTCCAGAACTTTCATAAACCAGAGAATAAGGTTGTGGTGGTCCACACCCCGGAGTACAACATGGGCAATTCCGAAATGAGTAAGTATATCGATTCCACTGACCTGGACAACTGGCTCGACAGAGCACTCTCTTATGGGTAAATACAAGTAATCGAATTCAAAGAAATCGATATGATTTATAGGAATTGCTTTGGTTATTTTGGGCAGCGCGCGGAGGTCGTCGCCGACGGTCGATGACATCGGAAGATCGTTTAGACCACATGAAATAAGTTAAAGTTAAAATAAGTCTTTGTCAAATGTGAATACACTTTTCCAGTAAATGAGGGACTAAGCAATTTTTAAAAAAAAAAATTTGATGAAACACGGTAGTTAAAGAATGTGTTCTAATGTTCTCCGAGGAATTGAAACAAAAATTGGTGTAAATTTGTGAATATCATCAGGTCCGAGCAAAATCGAAGAAACAATCCAGGAAGCTAACGCCAAGACGGAAATGGTCAAATCCAAGTTTGTTGAGAAGATGAGTGAAAACGGGGTGAGTAGAAACATCCGTCAGAGCAGCGGTTCTCAACCTTACACAGGGGTCGCCTAAGACCATCGGAAAACACATATTTATGAAGTAGCAACGAAAATTATTTTTGTTTGGGTCACCACAGCATGAGGAACTGTATTAGGGGGGTGGCTGCATTAGGAAGTTTGAGAACCGCTGCGTTAGAGGGACAGAATGTGTGGATCGCATCATTTTTTTTATGTCACGTGGTGTCTTCACTTGAAGGTGATTGGTTGAAATGATTGCCTTACCGGCTCAAGGCTAGAATATGGGATAATTATGATTTCTGATACGTTAGTGATGAGAAAAGTTGATGGAGATGGTGAAGGCGCTGCATACAAACATATTAAACAATTAATTCTATTTAAATTGTATACCTTACTTTAATTTTTTTTTCCCTTAGATGAATGGTGAATTTGTTGCCCTCGATGACAGAAACCCAGGCCACGCCATATGTAAATATGCTGAGAGAGTGAATGCCACATACATTGTTACAGGTAAATAAACGATGACATGCGACAGAGAGAGGGGGGGTCATCCATAGATGGGTATCTCGAGAAGAAAGTTATAAAGGAATAATAAAATTTTTTAGAGCCTTTTAATAAATTTGAACTCTCTTAAATTATGTTTCACAAATGATTTCTGGCTCGAATTCTTTGAATTTGAAGTGGAATCCTAACATTATGATCTCCATCAACTTTTGAACTAACGAAACAGACGCAAATAGCTTAAGTGATTGTTAACATCTTGTGTAAGTGCTTGGAAACCAAACCTACGTCACATTTCTAAAAATATAAAATAATTGTCCCACGGGATACCTTAATCGTATGGACTCTAACTTTAGATAATTGTTGCATGAGCTCTGTCAGCCCACCTGACTTTAGATGGCTGTTGCATGAGCTCTGTCAGCCCACCTGACTTCAGATGGCTGCTGCATGAGCTCTGTCAGCCCACCTGACTTCAGATGGCTGTTGCATGAGCTCTGTCAGCCCACCTGACTTCAGAAGGCTGCTGCATCAGCTCTGTCAGCCGATAGAATCTCCCATTAACCCTAACCCGCAACCTATTTTCGCAATGACAATTTTGACATTGTGTAATTAAGCATACGATCACCCCCATTATACTGAAGTTAACGTACATGTTTGCCCCCACAGGGACTCGAGGTTTGGGCAAATTTCGCCGAACCATGTTGGGCAGCGTCAGTGACTACATCCTGCACCACGCCCATGTGCCTGTCCTCGTCTGTCGGCTCAAGTACCTGGACGAGAAGTTCTAAGACAAGGGGCACTTCTTATCTCCGTCATCTTATTATAACCGGAAGTTATAGTTCTTGCACTTCAGAAAATGGTCGAAGTTTGTAAATAAAAAGTATTCATTGAGGAGGAAAAAAGAAAAGAAGATTCGATGACTAATGAGTTGTCCCAGTGGTACGATGTCAAGACATTTATGGTGGCCATTTTGGCAGAACGAAAAGTCATTTTCTGTTTGTTAACCCATAATGGTGAAGTCGACCTCCCGAAACTGCAGCATGGGGTAAACTTGGTTAGGTTTAACTTTCAAATAATGGTTGCAGATTTCCTCACTAGTGTGGATCAGACTTTTTGAGAACAATTGGTAGATTATTGTTTGAACTGAAATGTATTTTGGGAAGAAGAAATTTAACTAAAACAGGGACAGCTACTGAGTTAGCATGTTTTAATTAATTATATTTAAAAAACAAAAAAAAAAACAAACAAAAACGATAAAATAATGAAAGAAGATTGAGGTGCAAAATATTTTTTTTCTCCACCTACGTCATGTATTGTAAAGTAAATTATTGTATTGTACAAATAGATTTAGGATACTGTTTAGGTTTATTAACCAATACAATTTGATCACAACCAGTCATTTAAAGAGGCAGCACACACACTTCTGACAATCACTTTTTAAACTATAGGATCTTATTTCATCTAAAGTAAATTGAGACGAAATATAAATGATTGACCTACCCCTCCCACTTGCAATTTTAGAACCTTTATAAACTATTCAACACAAAATTACAATAATTTATAGAATAACTTTTACAAATAAACGCAGTGGTTTGTCTCGCAGATGCTAAAGAAACGAAACAATTGGTCTTGATTAATGTTAAGTTTCGTTTGACGGTCAAATGAAGACGCTCCAACACAATCTATTTCACAAGATCGTTTGACCACTGCTACTACACAGCTACCTACATCAATTTTTATTTGGAAATCTTACATTAAAATTTGCCTGTTAATTTTTATTGACATTTCCTTGTGTATGTTCTACTATGATGGACCATTTGATGAATGGCGACTTCCTATTGTTGACCTGGCCGATGTCTTTAATGGAGACGTTTTGTAACACACAATGCAATGTCATTAATGTATGGCATAGTTTTACTATTGACCATTTCATATGATGTCGTATGGTAGAGATGCTCTGTAACTGACCATGTAGTGTAACATAAAGCAATGTCTGTGCATTGACAAGGGGACTACAAACTTACAATGTAAATATACTGATTCTGTGTTGTTTTTGTTACTTCATTTTTTATACAAGAATTTAAAATGATTAATGATTAATCAGTTGCCAGTTCATTAATGAACATCACAGGATTTTTAAAATATATTTGTATGTCGGTTGTTCTCATGGTGTTCAAGTGTAGACAGTCATTCGTTGTACTATTCCCTGATTGTATTCTTATGTTGTTTGATGTTTCAGTACATTAGTTTGTAAAATATGTTGTTGTCAATAGAATTTTTTTTGAAACCCACTGTGAACTAAAGACAATTGATATTTTAAAATATACACAATAAAATGGTTTTATTTCGTTTCTAAAACTAGTCAGGTCAGTGTTTCTCTAAGTTTGATTTTTAAATTCATTAAAATTTAAAAAAAAATTCAAATTATAGTAGGGACACATCGTCTCCTCACTCAAAGTTTCTAGACAAATTTCAACTGAGCCAATGCACCAAGGACCAATAGTTCCTGGTGATCTCTCCTTCTGGTTAATAGAAAAAGTGTCAAATTTACGTTATTCATTTTAAGGTATCATTTGGTACGGTAAACTATTTCCCCCCAGACTGGGCATTGCCTTTCAACATACTCAGCCCCCCCCCCCAACCCACACACACAAACAAAACATAATGGAAACATAAATATCTTATATTTTAATAGGATATAACAACTGATGACAAGTTGTGAAGGGAGAATCTGGCAGTAAGATTTATTAAGAATTTAGTAGGAAGTCATTTGTCAGCTTCTGCATTTTAAGTGATTACACTTATCAATTATTTTAGATGAACACAATGGATAAAAAAAAATATTATTTGTAGGCAAATTAGGTCTTGCAGACCAATACTGGTCCAATGACCAACATTTGGGGATCACTGTTCTGGTCTGCACCCATACTTGAGCTGAAGTACCTGCACCACAAGATTTTGATAAAAACTCGATGCCAACATTTATAACTGCCCGGTGCCAGAACAATAGTTAGGGTCATCTTAGATGACACCACCCATGATTTTACTCCAGCCTTTTCAATGGTGAATCAAAGAGTTTCATTGGACTAATCAAAGTTCTGTTGAATTTCAAGAAGAAACAAAGTTGAAAACCGCTGATCTGTACGACTTAAAAAGTTTTGCAGATTTTTCTTCATTTCCATCACATAGATTTTGTTTTTGTACATGGCAAAAATGTACAAGAAAATGTGTACATAAAAAGGTGGACATGAAAAATGTTTACTGGTACAAAAAATGTGTACTGGTACAAGCAAATGTATACTGGTACAAGAAAATGTGTACCAGAAAAAGTGTATGTTTATATTAGTTATCAGTTTCAGCTGGCTGGCTAAACATGGGTAGTTCACACACTAACAATAATTTACATACAGCAATAATTTCTCCAACATAAACAGTGCGCCAAACATGTTAAAGTTAAGGTAGATGGGAAATAAGTAAATTGTGCCATGCACAAACACTGAAGCAGTACCGTACTAGGAATAAAGACCACAGCTTCATTTCGTTAATGCCTTAGGAACAATTAAGTTATAATGCCATTACAATAAACAGATCTGTTTTAAAAATATATCACAGCTAGGGTTTCTCATTTCCCCCAAGAGGTTTTTCTAATGTCCGGGAAATGGGAATAAAGTTTTCTTCCTCCTTGGATCCTCCCAGGGAAAAGAATTAATTTGCCGGTAATTAAAATTATAGATTAATTATAGAATGAATCAAACTATGATTTTTATATTTGTTTAATTGTTATTGTCTATTAAAGAATAAAAAACATCGTTAAAGCTAGTTCTGAGGTTTGTCACTTTGCTGCTATAGATGATTCATTTCCTGCAGCTTATCCCAGGTAACGGATAACTAGCCGATCATATCCTTGCTAAGCAAAAAAATGGATATGATTGCCTGTAGTAAATACCTCAACGCTTTGTGGGTATTGCATTCTCTGAGGGTCTTTAAGTATAGTTTTCAATGAATCACTAAATATATTTACTAGCAAACGTATGTTTCAAATATAAAAAAAAATTAAGCATTTTAATACATGTCTCTATATTTATATATATCTTACTATGTTGATTTTGGACATTAAAAAAAAACAAACTTTCATAATATAAAGGTAGTCTGACATATGAACACCACCATGCCATAATCAAGTTACTAGAGTACAGGTCTCCAACCCATAAAAGGTGACCTCAAATGGGGCTGCGAAGGGATTTCTGTATGGTCGCCACCTAAAACAATATACTAAAAGAAATATTTTTTTTTCAAGGTTTCTTTTTTTAATGTTTGTCTTATAGTTATAGTTTGAGTTATGACTTCAATCAAGACAAAAATTTACAATTCTGAAAAATCTAGTTTTAATTTCCAAGAATTTACCCTGCTTTAAAGTCTTTTATTTACTGTATCGTGGGTCACTTTTTTTTTATATATAAATGTGGTAGTGACTTGAAAAAGCTTAAGTACATGTGTACTAGAGCTACTGAGCTTAAAACTTAAATAATTTAGTGCAGTTAACTAGATTTAGAGCTTTATAGTGATATTTTGTGACAACTTGGGTCGTGCTGAAATAAAAAAAGAAAATTGTGTTCTTAAAGTGTGTACCCATGGGCGGGTTTTCCTGGGATGGGGAAGTAGTATAGGAAGTCTGTTTTTTACTATATATCGAGCAGGATCCAGGGAGAGAATCCCCAATCACAGCACAAGCAATCCAGTTTAAAAAACTGTTTTATCACAGCTTCAGTTGAAGCCAGCGGTTTTCGTCCAATGTGTCAAGTCACCAAACTCGTGTTCACAGACCTACTGGGAAGATTAATATAAAAAAAAAACTAAAACTAAAAACATTGCCCAAAAGTTGCTGGGTATTTGAACTACAAAGACAATACAGGTTTGGCACAGTGCATAATCTATGTTATAAAATATCCTGATAATTAGCTTGTACTTGTAAGCTAATCTAAAAAACTGGATTTTAAAATATTCTTTAATTATTTATAATAAGTAAAATTCTGTGACAATACATTTTTGTTATGACATAAAAGATGACTTAGTGCACCCTAAGCTAATAAAAATAATTGAAAAACCACCCAGTTTAAAAATGGTCTTGGCACACTAACCATGTTCCAAATATTTAACTATTATCCTGGGCAAGCCTAGATGTGACAAATATTTCAAGCGTCTTGGGCCGAGGGACGTACGTATAGTCAATCTGCAGTAATGTTTTAATGATCTTGGTGTACCTGATAAAAATATATAATAAAATGAAATTTAAAATTGTGGGCTTGCGAGTACATTTTAAATTTCATAAAGCTGAAAGGAATTTGATGATCTGGTACTTTCAGAAACTCGAAAGGAGTATCAGTATTTTTTGATATCCTTATAATGTTGAAAGGAAAATTATTTTTTACAAAATGTCTTCATAAGTTGAAAGGCATACTATTAAGTATTATCTTGTAGTGTGATAATAATGTTGAATAGAGTTATTAGAATTTAGAATATTATGAACTAGTAATAAATCAGAAGCCAGTAACTCAAACTTTCTGGCCACATTCTTACAGTGAAAATCACGGCTACATTCAACTTAACTATAATTGCTCAGAAATTCACGATAAACAAATCTAATTGATACATAACAGGTTTGATTTTTTTACATTGCAGTTACAAGTGGATTTTATAACTCTTGTTTTTTTAAAATCAAATTGACAAAAAAAAAACCAAACAACTTCTAACTTCTTTATTACCACATTTAAAAACATAAGAATACATTAGCTAATAGATTGACATTGCTACAGACACTACAGTTGTAAAATAGAAATTGTTTGGAATCCGATTGACCACAGCTTACAACCTGAAGACACAGAAGCTAATGAAATAATGAATAACAGTTTTTGCAGGGAAACTGAATATTCCAATATTCAACTTACAGCAGCTTAACTGGGCTAAAAAATTGGTACAATGAAAAAATGGTTACCACTAAAAATAATAGAGCACAAAACACTTTGGGTTAGAGATAATGTGAAAGCCTAAAGTGAGAATAAAACTATAGACGACTGATTCTCAATAAACATTGAAATGACAGGGAGGGAGAATCTTATGAATCAATTTTTATACCAAACAACTTTATTTCCGACCTAACCTCACATTATAAATATTAAATGACCAGAAATCTGCCAGAGACTTAAACATTGACGCAACAGGTGCTGAGAAATTACTGCATACTTTCCCAATCCTGGAGCAATGATTTACACAAGGACGTGCTGCTGGGTACAAGCTGCCTGGGTGTCAGGCCCTGGCTGTTCCTAGCGTACACGTCTGCTCCATGGTCCAGGAGCAGGCTAACAAAATCATGATCCTGGCACCTGGCAGCTTCATGCAGGGGTGCGTGGTGGGTTTTGGTCACATTGGTACTCGCCCCTGCACATAGCAGCACCACTGCACTTTTTATATGACCTATTCATGAGATAGCATTTAAATTTAAAGATCTAAGTTTACATGTGGAAAAATGTATATAGTAAATATGGTCATTATAAAACATACATTATAATTATGGTCATTATTAAAGTATATCATATATATGGTCATTATAAAATGTATATCTTAAATGTGGTTTTAATAAATGCAAACCGGTATCATGATAATGGTCATCATTTAATGTATATCACAAATATGGTCATTATAAGAATCTTTATAAAAAAAAATCACCAAGACCACCTGAGCTCTTTATAGGATCAATGTCTATGGGAAAGCCCCTCTGGCTTATCCTTTGTCTAACAGATTATGTGTTCTGTTTCTTTTTTTGTGGAGCACAATTTGGGAATCACTGACCTCACCAAGCAGAACTTGTTATTTTAATACTGCATCGATTAAAGCTTTAGGAAACAATACTGAGATTTAACAATCATAATTCTGCACATGATTAAAATTTTGAAATACTTGGCAAGTACCACAAATTTTAATAGTCTATACCTTTCTGTTAACTAATTAGCAAGTGACCAGAGTTTTTTTTTTTTACCAGTACCCCAAAGAGGTACTAAATATCATGATGACTTCTAGTATGATTACATTAGGAGTCTAGTGGTGGATTCTTCAAATACAATTTTCGCAACCCTTAAAACAGGGCTTCCCAACCTCGGGTACAAGGTGACATTTCTAAAGATGTGAGGCAACATGACTATAAAAACTGAGGAGCCATTAGATGTTAATTTATGAAATAAATGTTTATAAATTTACAAATTAAAAAAAATTATTTTAATTAACATCTAACTGTGTGTAATAAGTCACAAGTTTATTTTCTAAGTTCTACAGTTGTCTTTACCAGAAAACAAAAAAATCCCATAATTTGAGGTCCAATAATGTAAAACAAAAAATGCTGTTACATTTTTAGTGTCTAGGTGCAGAGTGTATGAAAGGTTGGAAAACACTTTCCTAAAAGGAAAATAATAGAGGAAAATGAGAAAACATTTTAATAGTAGGAAGACCTGACGATAATGAGACAACGTGATGATAATGAGGGACATACCTTTGCAGGCTGCTACATGCAGCGGAGTACCAAAGTTACAATCACTTTTATCAACCTGAGCTCCGTGGTGGAGCAGAAGGAGTAGGCACTCCCAATTATCTGACGGACACCAAAGAAATTTGCTGTTACATTACTGGTACATAATTATTAGTTTACTACTGGCCTTGAGCTTGAATGGGACATTTATGTGCATGCTCACAAACACAGGGGAGCCTTACATTTACACTCACATAAGAAAATCCTAAGTTTACACACACATAAGAAAGCCCTAAGTTTACACACACATAAAAAAAACCTAAGTTTACACACACACAAGAAAACCTTAAGTTTACACACACATAAGAAAACCTTAAGTTTACACACACATAAGAAACCCCAAAGTTTACACACACATAATAAAGTCCTAAGTTTAATTTTCCTCTAAGTCTCAATCCTTAGTTTATTTATATTTTTGGCTCATTGAATTTTGTTTTTTTCACTGAATTAAAAAAAAAAAAAAAAAAAGATATCAACTGCTATAAACTAAAACAAAAAACCCCAAAGTTTACACACACATAATAAAGTCCTAAGTTTAATTTTCCTCTAAGTCTCAATCCTTATTTTATTTATATTTTTGGCTCATTGAATTTTTTTTTTTTCACTGAATTAAAAAAAAAAAAAAAAAAAGATATCAACTGCTATAAACTATAACAACTGCTGTACCTCTATAGACTGCCTCATGGGCTGGTGTTGAAAACAGAAGGGGTGGATTCACCAAAGCACCGTGATCAAGCAAGAGTTGAACCAGTTGAACATTCCCATTGGAGCAGGCATCACACAGAGCCGTGGCACCATCAATGTTGGCCAAATTCACCTACAGCAATTAAAGCAATTGTAATTAAATATGACATAGTAAAACAAGGTATGCTGAATCCTGATTTAAAAAAAACAGGACAATTAAAGATGAGAACGTTTCTATTTGTAGTGTTTTGCTGAAGAAGGCTCTAAGCCTAAACGTTGACATCTTATTGTCCTGTCTTTTGATTCAGGCTTCAATTCAGTTTTTGATTATTTAAATTTTTAGTACATGTAAAACAAATGTATAGAGTTATTTTATCTTCATTTGCTTATTTTTAAAATAAAAATGGCATACACATTTCTTGAATTGGAAGTTTCCATTAAAGAATAATTACAAACATTTGCTCCATTTTCTAATAAAAATTGTGCACATCCCAAGTGCCCAGACAGACAGGCTTCATGAAGTGGTCGCACCAACTCAAAAGTGGCATGGTTGACATCGTGCTTGCCAGAAAGGATCAGTGTTTTTAAATCATCAAGAAAACCATTCTTTGCAGATTTGTGGACAGGATATTTTTCATCCATTTCTATAATTTAAAAAAATGTTATCCAGTACAATTGTAGATAACGATATACAATAATACCCTTATAGTGTACCAACCAATGGCAACTTATTCCCTAAAAGATTGTAATAAATTAAATTTACAGATTATATATCTGAAGACTATATTCTCTAAGCGCAGCTTAAAGGGAACATTGGTCGTCACCCCTTTCACAGGGGTCGCTGAAGACAATTGGAAAACACATATACTCTGAAGTTATGCAGTAGCCACAAAAGTAATTTTTTTGGTTGAGGGTCACAACAACATGAAGAACTGTATTTAAAGGTCGCTGCATCAGGAAGTTTGAGAACCACTGCTCTAGACAGTCCTAGTCTGGGACAGTGGTTCTCAATCTTTCTGGACTCAGTGGTCACTTGCTATAATCTTATCCAGTGCCCATGCACTGTTTGATTCCAGTGTTTCTTTCAGTCATCTCTCTTGAGGGTTGGGTGGGGGGTGAAAGAAAAATGTGTACAACATCATCTATTAGAAAAAAAAATACTAATCATAAACAGTCATTTAAATAACTCTTAAAATTAGTTAAATAGTGGAACCAGTGAAATATCGCTATGCTCAGTGTATTTGAAGATCCAATATAAAATACAAAATCTAGATGCCTGTTCAGTATTCATCTAAAAAATACTGTATGATTGTTCTAAAAACAGGGCTCTCTCTATTTTAAGCTGCTCCCTATTTTACACCGCATCACAACTTCCTTGTTGTTCACTTACATCAGTCTTTTTAAAATTAATTTTTGCTTGCTACAAGTGTTTATTTCATGCATTTTGGAAAGGGGGGGGGTGGGTAGTGAGGGGGGGGCTTGGTAGTGGGGAGGGGCCAAACCAGCTGTCTATCAAATTCCTAAAAAAAAAATGTAAAAAAAATAAAGTGAAGATATGAATTTAATTTAAAAAGCTGCAAAATTGGCATTTTTTCTAAATTTTAAAAAAGAGTTGTAAATGTACTTTAGCCTTTAGCCTTTAACCTATTATAATGCGAGAAATGTGGAACTAATGAAAAATCGAAATGCTCAAGTTATTAGATAGTGTTATCATATTATTTTTTTTAGCTGTATTTTTATCATTTTATTTGCACTTAGCCTAACTAACTTTTTGTCCCTGAGGGCCTATATTTTAAAATTTCTATTTATTTATTACATGGAGTTAATTTAATAACAAATATAATATGACATTCGTTAAGAAATAATATCACACCTGAACTACACTTTTACCCAATTCCCTTGAAGAATATAATTTTGGTATATTTGGTCTTGGAGAGATAGCACGTAGCTGCCATCTCGGTTGCTGTAACACGCGAACTTATATCCTAAACTAAATGATAAATGTATCTCTAAACCTAACCTGACCCTAATTCTATCCCTTAAACCTAATCTGAACCCTAAACTTATCCCTAACCTGGGTTTTGACCCTATCATCGGAACTAGAGTTTTGACCCTATTCCTATCATCGGAACTAGAGTTTTGACCCTATTGGAGCCAGGGACAAACCACGCAAATGACGTCAGGGTGCTATCTCTCCAAATTAGCCTAAATACTTTATTGAAGTAATTATTTATATGTTTATACATTTTTTTGTAAAGTAAGTGCAGGGCTTGTGACAGTGAAAAGGCAAACAAGGGCTCCGTCTTCTACTTCTTGGCATGGCACAGTTTTAAGCATTCATTAAGAGGGTTAAAACTCAAATAAATAAATTAAACAAGTAAAAAGTCTTCATGAATGGCATGGACCGCCTAAATTACCCATTTTGTGAATTAAAAACTAATGCTTAATGTAACCATTTAAGTTAAATATAATGCTTCTACTACTCTAATGCTTTCTAACCACTGCTCAACGGTCATTTTCGTGTTTATGTAAGGAAAATAACAGTTACTCTAATTATTTGTACTTAATTTAAGTTCGTAAGAATGAGTTCCCCTTGTGGGGCAAGTGTTGACATATGAGAGTGCGTCCATAATTTATGTAACAAATTTTTAACTTTTACAACTTTTTCCCTTTCGTCAACAACTATCAAATTTTATTTAAAAAAAAACTTAATTATGTTTAAATTTTAAAAAAAAATCAAAAAGGTTTTGTTCATTAATCTATATAAATAATAATTAGGGCTCCATGTCAACGATGACAAAAAGATTGTGCCAGGAAAAAACATGTTAAAAAGTTAAAGTTCTAAAAAGTTAGAATCTACAGTAAATTTATAGTGCATAAGTAATTGGCCCTGAATAATTAAATTATAATTATACAAAAATAAGTGTGTGCTTAAAAAACATGTTTATTTATTTCTAAGCTACCAACATGTTCTCACGGATAAGCAATAAGATAAATTGTCATCTATTGCAAAAAGGGATTGGGGGAAACTTTTCGAGAGAAGAGCCATTTTTATAAATTATATCAGCTCAGAAAATTATAGTTTGGGAGCAGCAGGCAGGGGCAGATTGTTTAAAGATCTTTATAAATTATAAAAAAATAAAAGATCTTCACATATTCCATCAAAGAGCTCCATGCAACACCCTGACCACGGGTTACCGACCACTGCTCTAATGAAAACTGGGCAATTTAGGATACTCAGAATTGTCATATTTTTGCTGAAATGACTTAAGTGACATCATTTTTGTTAAAATAACACACTTTTACAGCAGCATACACTAATTTCTGTCTTTTGCTGACACTTGAGTGGGCTGCATCCATTTTTGATGATGAGGAGGTGATAATCTATTAGACCTAACGTGTTTTTTTTACCATTTTAAATTTAAGGGCTGGTCCCCCCCCCCCCCCGATATTATTTTAGGGCAATTATGAAACATCAAATTTTAAGTCTGTAACTCCTTTGCTTTTTGAGATATTTCTATTCTCAAAAAATATAATGATCCCTTTTCCCTATCCCCGAATGTTCCTTTTCAGCAATGATGGACGCACAATTAAAAAAAAAAATATATATATAAAAAAAATAAAAAAATTTAAAAAATAAAAAACATGTTAAAGTCTGCAACATTTTTGGATTTCGCTATGTTGGTATCATACAATTGGGAATAAAATTGAGCGTTACTCTCAGTCGACAGTGTATGAAAATATGGCTATAATAATACTTAAAATGTATGTGTTAAACTTAAAGCAAATAATAGATTCAATACAACCCATAATTCTGCTACATTCCTTTTAAAAAAAATACTAACCGTGTAAACAATTTATCCGCTGATAAACTGATACCCCCCCTCCCCCCTCCCCATTACAAGTATATTGGTTAGACTGTGATATTTTAAAGCTTAACTTCCTTAAGTAGTAGATTAGAGACATACTAAATTTGTCGCGTAAACAGCATAGTCAAAATCAAGTAAAAAAACAAACTAGTATATGCTGTTCACTTCATAAATTATTTTTGTTTTAAGTTTTTTAAAAAAATTTCCCATATCTATTTTTAGAGATCAGCAGTTCCACTTTCGATATGCAGATGAAGTTGTAGAAGTTAGGCTTTGCACGTTCTTAATAAATAGGTGTACATTTGCAGGAAAGGTAATTATTATTTTCGAAGCATAATAGTAAATAATGTTGAATTTATTTTTCATTATATACAAAAGATTTTTGGATATAAATTTACTCGTAAGCTATATTTGAAAAGAACAGAATACCAAAATGTAAGTAGAATAAAAAGGGTGCTAATTTTTTAGCGGTACCTGTTGTAATAAATTTATTTTTTTTAGGAGAAATGTTATTCCTATACTATATACATAATATGATCTAGGCATACCCACGCATCCATTGTTATAAACTGCACATTATACAAAAATATTATTATATATTTTCTATGACTGTGCACTTTTTTGTTGTGGTTTCAATTTCCTATAAGCCTTTTACACTTCTTAGTATCAATATAAATATATATTGGAATATAGGTCAGATGACGTATTATAATGACGTTTGTATCTAGATGTTCCCACGAATCCATTGTTATAAATTGCACATATTTGGTTACCATCTTATATCTGATTTTTTTTTTTCATTATACAAAAATATTATTATATATTTTCAATGACTGTGCACTATTTTGTTGTGGTTTCAATTTCATATAAGCCTATTAGTATCAATATATATATATATATATATATCTATATATATATCTATATATAGCTATATATAAATATATATATATATATATATATATATATATATATATATATATAGATATATATAAATATATATATATATATATATATATATATATATATATATATATAGGTCAGATGACGTATGGTCATGTTGTTTGTATCCAGGGCAACGTGACGTAATGGGGTGATGTAGTGGTGGTACATATCTACTACTGAAATCAGGATTCTCAATTTTTTGTATAGTTAGTAGTCCTGCAAACAAACTAATTTTGTTTTAAGGACGAAATACTCTCCTTATTGAGACATTATGGTCATTCCTTTTGACACGACATGTAGGATATTGTTCGTAAAGTATTCAGTGCTTCCAGTGTTTCTTTCAGACATTTCCTCGCGGGTATGGGGGGGGGGGTGTGTTCAGATTATTAAATCCCGGTGCGACAGACTAGCTGGAGGGGGGTAAAATTGGCTTTGATGGTATTTAATGGTTGAAAATAATGGATTTCAGAGTGGGGGGGGGGCGTAAAAATGAATCTTGTACCCGACGCCAAACACTGTAGACACGCCCCTGCTATGGCGTGGAAATATGGTGGATGCGGTGGTTAGCCCAGGTGTCACTTTTTCTTTATATGCTGGGGTGGCATTTTTAAACAACTGCAGAGTTTGAATAGGGAAAGTGGGGACGGCAAAAATACTTGTCAGCTCATGGCAGACCTAATAGTAGCTACGCCACTAGGCAGTGCATCTATCGATAGCAAAATCGGCGATCATTTTCATCGGGAAGTAGGGCGGAAATTGAGGGCGCCGATGAATCTTGAACGGTGGAGGAGTTTGGGGGAGCAGGCACATTTTTTTTTGGACCTCTTCAAAAACAAAGAGGTGTATTTTTTTAGTCTACTTAATCAATTTTAAAAAAAGCAAGAATGCATTCAAAGCATAGCCGAAATTAGTTTGGCAACATTCTACACTGAAATAAAGCGCAACGAAAGAGATGCTCGTTCAAAAATACGTAGGTGTCATTCAACCACAGAGCCACTGTGTTGGCCCAGCAATCCGCTACGTCTTCACGGGACCTTGAAGATCTTAGAGTTTTTTTAAAATTATCAACTATGAAAGCAAAGTGGGTAGTACAACAACGAAAAGTGGAAAAAGGGGGGGGGGGGGGAGCCGCTCAAAACGTCAAGTGTCGGCTGTGCTGGAATTGCTTTTTATACAATATGTGTATATGTATATAAATATATTAATATATATTACTAATTAGTAATGAGGCTTTGAATTTTTAATTACCCTCTTTTAGAGGTAAAATTCTTAAGTATTTAATCAATTTTCTACAAAAAAATTATGAACAAAATTCCTTCCCCCCAAAAAAGTTTCCATCACAAAAAGCACTGCCAACACCATTTTATATGGTGAATGCAAATGTCAAAAAAAAACAACATCTGAACTTACACGTGATTAACTTTTCTAAATATTATCAAGTTGTATTAGAGTGAGAGAGTTAAAAAAAAAAAAAAAAAAAAAAACAACTGTTGCATAGAGAGGTCCATACATTTGTGTGGCTTTTCAGAACTGTTCATTTTTATGATAAGTTAAAAAAAAAAAAAAAAAAAAAAAACAACTGTTGCATAGAGAGGTCCATACATTTGTGTGGCTTTTCAGAACTGTTCATTTTTATGATACGAATATGAATGGCATAATTGTGGTAGGGATTTGGGTGGGAGGGGGAAGAACTAATTGGGATTCTTATAAAGTGCCTTACTTGTATAAGACTGAAGGAGGCGGAGACAGACGTAGTAGAACTGGCTGTTAGTATTTTAATTAGAGGAAGGTAGTATTTTTTAATCATCCAGTGGAAAACTCACACTGTAATGATTGACAGATTGACAGCTGTTGTCTATTAAGGAGGAGTTATTTATGTATGTCTGTGCCAACAATGGATTTGAATAAATGCACCTTTTTAAAAAAAAAAATTAGTACGAAAAAAATAAATAATTCAGTTAATAGATATGTTTAAATCACATTTTTTGGGGCGCCCTTGACAATTGCACCATTGATTTACAATATTCACGTTTTTTACATTATTTACCACGTATTATTTCTTTTTCTTTTTAATTTAAAGCTCAAAGCATGGCAAGGGCAGCTAACTGGGAGGACTGTAGGACTGAAACTTGTAAGAACAAAGTCAAGTCTTTAAATGACTTCAAAAATTCAATGCTAGATTTCCCATGTACATTTAATTTGGTGCTACCAAACTTAACACCGGACCTAACAGTAACTTCTAAAGCGAGCGGGCTGACCGAGCCGTATCTGGCAAAACACAATTGCCGTCGCCTGAAACATGAACTTCGCGATGAGAGCGATGACGAGGACTTCGAAGAAGCTGTTTGGAAAAAAAACTTTCTGACGCGCATTTTGTATGAGCTGGATGGTGACGTAATGAAAGCCACGAAGCTGAACCAGAAGATCATGAGACTCGAGACGAACTCCAACAACCTCACGGCTTTGGCAAACTCAGCTTTTCTGCACTTCCATAATCAAGAGATCAAGAAAGCGATGGAGGTTTTGAAAAAATTACGTGAACTGAAGCAAGCCGACGCCGCTGTGTTCAAGGGCTTGAAAGTCCAGGCACTGATCGAGCAGGCGTATGCATTCCGCAAGCTCGGAGGCAGCAGCAACCTGCTCTGCGCGATACAGCTTTTGACGACGGTGACAGATTTCGTTCCCGAAGACGAAAAAGTGAAGTTCATGCTGGCTTTGGTTTACCGACGGTGCACCAGCATGATGCTGTACACGGAGAACTCTGAGAGAATCGACAGAAAGAAACACGCGCTAGAAGCAGCGAATCGTTTGCACGAGCTGGGAACCACGGCCAAAGATAAATCAATCAGAGCTGCAGCCATCGCCGAGCTGGCTTTCCTCAGAAAGGGGGATAAAATAAAAGAACTAAGACTGATTGAAAGTCCCTTATGGGAGGACCTCATTGGAACTCAAAGCTGGAAGAAGCTGTGCTACAGAGCACTCGCGGTCGATAAAGAAAATCCAAATGACAGGGTGTTAAAGATGGTAGGACAAATGTTTAAAACGGACGAAAAATGCTGGGGAGAGGCGATTGGATTATTGCAAAAATCTATAAAAATCAGACCCTCAAGTCGAGCTCATCACCATTTGGGATTACTGTTTGTTAAAAAGTCGGTGGCATACGAAAAAAATAAATTTCGCCGCCAAAACTTTGAGACGAGACGAGCGATTCAGTTTAGCAGCGACACCCCAGAAAAACACATTCGAAAGGATACGTTCAAGAATATAGAGGAACGACTGAGCTTCAACATCAAAGTCCCGAGAGAAAAGTTACCGCCATTCAGCGAGGATAATCCGTATATTGCCAATGCTGAAACCAATTTGAGAGCATCCGTCGCCATCAGCTTCAATATCAGTATAACCGCACAGTACGATCTGGCGCTGTTTTTGGCAAGGAGATGCCAATATGATGAAGCCAGAAGTATCTGTCAGAAAGCAATCGATATATTCTCCGAGAGCCCCTTTGGATTTATCAAACGCTTACACCTTGTGAATGTGTACAATCTGTACGGAATGTGCTGCTCCCTGGAGGCCGAAGAAACAAAGGATAAGGAAACAAAAGCACTTCTCGTCAAACGCAACGAAGAGTACCTCTGGCTTGCCATTAAAATGGCGACCGAAATAGCAGCGTCTGTGCCCGAATTGAAAGAATGCGCCACTGACCTGTGGAAGATATTTGATCAACTCCAAAAATCGTTTAGATCAAGAGGGGACCCGCACAGCCAGTTAAAACTTTATGATTTCGTGGGGAATTACAGTTTTCCAATCAAGCTTGAAGAAATATTATCAATTGAGCTGCCTGATTGGAAACGCAAAGAGTCTTTAGAAATTTACATAAAGAAGTACACGAAAGAAAAAGACTTTGAAAGCGCAGATTTTCTTTTGAAATTAATCAAGCTTCGATCGGGATCATGTGACTTAACAATGCAAAACAGCAAAATTGTTCGACAGCTGAGGTTTGAACAGGCGGCAATGGCCTTAGATAAAAACAATCCTAAATCAGAAGAATTTCCCGATCAAATATGGATGACAATCATTGATGAATTAATTTGCGCTAAACAAATAAGTCCCGACTCCAAAAGTCCCGACGCCAAAAGTCCCGACTCCAAAAGTCCCGACTCCAAAAGTCCTGACTCCAAAAGCCTCGACTCCAAAAGTCCCGACTCCAAAATTCCAGACTCCAAGAAAGCGATGGATTTCGATGTCCTATTTATGGCCGACAGTTGTTCTGAGGGTGAAGACGGACTCTGGTCATACAGGGCGTCATTGTGTCTGACGCGAGTATTCAATAAAACGTGTGGGCTCTCAGTGGATAACGTGGATCTGATAAAAATCCCCGGTGGATTGGCCTTAGGCCAGGAAACATCAGCGTTTTTTCGAACTAAAGTACTCGTTGTGTTACTTGACGGATCTGTCGACGTTCATGCGTTTTCGCGCACCGAAGACGACCACGAAGTCAGGCTTGACCAAGCAATCGAAAAGTTGGATCAGCTAAGCTTAACTTCACAGAATTCTGCTGATCGCAACGGCTATGAGTCAGCCGGCTCACCTGTTCCAAACCTACAGGAAATTAAACACTCTCCCGTTAAAGGCGGCGAAGGGAGTCCAAAGCAACAGCAGCCACTGTGTTCCGACCGCTTCAAATATTTGATCACCCTTGCCGTGGAGTCTAATCTAAGCGATGGCGCACCAAGACATATTATAACGGCTGTAGAAAACGATCGCGACAAATTGCTGGTGCCGCATGAGGCAAGGGGTTTCCCCGTGCTTGTCCTCTCAGACGAAGACATCTCGGTCCTTGACGACGCAGACTGTAAAGATAAAATGAGGCAGAATGAGCTCATCATGAACACTTTTAAGCTTCTAGTTAACGCCGACAAGAAAACTGATCAAGTTTCAAGTCCATAAATCAATTAACAGGACACAAAGTGATAAATCGTTTAGTGGAGAAGACACAACAACCAAATTATTTAGTTTGGAGACATGAACTATTGTTTTAAAAATGACCCAAGGGTTCGGTGAGTCAGTCTCAGGGGTTCGGTGGAGGTCCAAAAAAAATCAGAAAAAAAATTATATTTTATTTTCCTATTAAGAAGGGTTCGGTGAATGCGCATATGAAACTGGTGGGGGTCGGTACCTCCAAAAAGGTTAAGAACCACTACCCTAGAGTATTCTTTTTCTTCTTTGCCTTTTCAACTCCCAAAAGAGCAAAGGCCATTAAAAAATTATTTCCAAACCTTACGGTCTCCTGCTATCACCACCACCTCTTTCTTTTCCTCACCACCTCTTTCTTTTCTTTTCCAACTCTTCTTTTCTTCTCTAACTCTCTCCTTACTGAATTAACCTTCTCAAATATTGGACCTAAATAACAATTGTCCAATTATTATTTCTTACAGCAACAGGAATTTTTAAGTAACCATTTCTTGTGTGTGCAACATAAAGACGATAACCAGGGAAGTAGCCGGCTACTCATTAGTGGGCTTTTGATAACCAGGGAAGTAGCCGGCTACTCATTAGTGGGCTTTTGATAACCAGGGAAGTAGCCGGCTACTCAGTGTTTTTAATTGGACTTCTTTAAGATCCTAAGAATGTCTTTAAGATTTGGTAGGCAAAGTGCACGTGACCCTCGAACATTTTGACGTGTCAAGTCTCGTCACGACCCTTAACCCTTGTACACCAAGGGAAAATATAGCTCAACATTTTTTCGGAGAAATCAAGTTGCAAATATGACGTAATTAATAAAAAAAAAAAGTAAAATATGTTAACAATATTTGAATTATATGTCTATAGTATAGCGCTGAAATCTTCTTTGTGAATCTCAAATGAATTTGGAATAGCATTGCAATTCTTTGAATTTTTCCGTTATTGTAGTTTAATATTAATATTATTTTGCATTTCATTTTTGTTTACATTTCCTGTTTTTGTCGCATTATCAAAGCTTGCAACTATTTCTCTAGTGAGGCCTAATTTAAATTAGACAAGCTTACAATTTTAATTCTCTCTAGAACAGAGCACTTGACACGTGACGTGTAAAACCAGTGTGAAATGTAGCAAAATTATTGAAATGTTTTTTCGCTATTTACAATCTCAGCACTGTTAACATTTATTAACTTATAAAAATGACATCCTATGTTAACTATGTAAAATGTTTATGACTTCACAGTGAACAACTTAAAATCTCAGTCGATATCAAGGTATTGGCTAAATCTGGGATAGGATGCCACAACGTCATTTGCGTGTTTATTAAAGTTGCCGTGAATTAGGGGTCAGGGGTCAGGTTAGGTTTAGGGATACATTTACTTAGATTTAGTGACAGAATTAACTGGTCTTGTCAACCAAGATGGCGGCCATTGAAAAAAAAACAAACAACATGTCATCTCTTCTGCGAATTTACCCAAGGTATTTATTGCTCATCCCTATTTTTAAAATCATTGCATAAAATGACATTTGAATTAATTGCGTAAATTATCTTATCTAAACTAATTTCAGATACAACCCGAGTTTTAAATTATTATCTATACAACACGCTTGCATGTATATTTAATAGCGAATTCCATTTTGTATGCGTGCGTATGACGCACGTCTGTGTATGTGTGCATGCAGTCATTTGTTTCGTTTTGGAATCTTCTGTATAATGAACTGTGTCATGCCGCTGTGGGAAAGTCACGTGTGGTGGCAAAATTATGTAAAGATTAAAAAAAAAATCATGATAATGATACCTTCTTGAATAGCGTTGTCTCTCTGAACGATGACAACTGAACAAAACAAATCTGCGCCGAATGCAACAATTTCTAAATGAACCCACTCAACTTAATGGTGTAAACATGCAAGTACATTCAACATGGGTTGAACTTTTTTTGTTGTTATGAGCAATTATGTGATATATTTGTGATAGTTTTACATAATTTTGAGGTTAGTTTCATTTACACAATGTTCTCAAGTATTTAGTTGACTTACGTCATTTATACCTAAGAAGTCAATTTTCAACCTCCATAAAAACCAAGGCCTTGCGATCAGTGATTATTTCTGACCCTCCCCCCTCCCCCGGGCACTTCAGATTTTTCTGGGGGGGGGGGCAGTGCCAGAAGTGCCAGTTGAATTATTGTTGGACATATTTTTGCTCCGGGGGCACTTGGCTTTCCCCGGGGGGGGGGTGGCAGTGCCCCCCTCCGAGATATAGCTGAAAGAAACCCTGCTTGCGATTTCATCCAGCAAAAACCTCACTCTTGTGCAATTAATATAAATAAAAAAAACTAAATTATTTTTTATATTATCTTTATCATGTTATATAATAATTAAAATATTATAATAAATATTATTATTCATATTTTTTAAAATCATGTTTATTATTCGTATTTTAGTTCATATTTTTATTCATATTTTTTATACTTATTATACTCATTAACGTAACATTTGAAAATATGTTAAAAGATTTGAAATTAAGCTCACGGTAAGTCATCTCTCACTTCCCCTTCTTCCGATTTAACATTCTGCCGATGAAACATTTTGCCAATTAAAGAATCAGCTAATTAATAGAAACAATGAAATAAGACTTTGTTGGTCTTTTGTTTTATTTCTTACATCTGTGATCGTTAAGAAACACAAAAAAGAAGGAATGAGTTAAACACCACTAAAAGAAAACAAAAAAAATGAAACATGTTTTAAGCATGAAAAGGTTAAACAATATTATTAAATTACCCACGTTTCTAACAAAATGAACACACTCTTATTATTAAATTACCAACCTCAGCCTGACAGTTATATATATATTTTTAAACGAAAATCTCATCCATCCCTTTGGAGTTACATCCCATGTAGATCTTTGGCCTGCTTCACTACTTCCTTCGACTCTCGTAACTAATGCTTTTCGTTTCCATGCTTGGATTCCCATCTGTTGCAGATCTTTTTCCCCACATCATCCATCCATCTTGGCCCAGGTCTGCCTTTGAGACGTTTTCCTCTGGAGTTTTGGTGATGCACCCTTTTCACTCCTCTGTCATTTGGGATTCTTTCTAAGTGTCCTGCCCAGGGTAGCCTACCCTTTTAAAAATTTCTGCTACCAGCGGAGGAATCCTGATAAGATTGTACAATTCATGGTTCGCTCGTATTCTCCATCCACATTCATCTTTTGTTGGCCCATATATTTTCCTGAGAACTTTTCTCTTCCATGTGTTTAATAGGTTTTCTGCTGTTTTTGTTAGGGTCCAAGTTTCTAAAAACATCAACCCTTCCCCAAAATAAAAAAAATAAATAAATGAAATAAATGAGACAAAGCGTGGGGAAATCCTGAAAAAGGGACGCAACAAAACAACAAACGTGTCGGCAAGATGCCCTCTTAAGCAAATAAACAACAGTAAAAACAATATAAAAAATGCAGTAACCGAGAGGACAGCAAGAAGACTGTAAAAGACCATTATTATAGACCATTATTAGATACCTTTATTAGAGACCATTATTAGAGAGAGTTAACATAGGCAGTAGGAGGAAAAAGACAGCTAAAGTAAGTCCACGGCGATTTGTTGCAACAAGGAAAGGGGGGGGGGGGAGAAAAAGATTTACCAAGTGAATGAGACCATGACATGCATGTCTTGTGGTGTCAAGGGCGCATAAGTCTGAATCAGTTTGTTCTCCAAATTCCCCCTGGTGGGCGTGTATTACCATCTACCTTACCTGATTGCAGTCTTTCACCTCCCCCCACCCCCCGAAAGGCGTGTATTACCTTCTACCTAACCCGATTGCAGCCTATACCATCTGGAAGAGCGTGTATTACCTTCTACCTAACCCGATTGCAGTCTCTCGCTCCTTATTAGAAATTCAAAAGGCAGGCATGGAGGTTTTTTTTTTATTCGCCACCCCCACCCTACAACCGCCCCTCCACCCTGTGTAGGCACCACGGAATTTCTTCAAAATAATTTTAAAGTCCAAGAATTTCATCAATGCAAAAATTCACAAACAAAATTTGTGGGAAATAACTTGAGTACACAGCATACTAATTGTTCACCTTTCCAAGCCCCCTCCCGTCAGTGGTTTGAGACCCTCGATGGTGCAGCTGTTACAGCATTTTTTGTCTGCGGCCCTTTAGTCGGGGCTCTTTTGTCAGGGGCCTCATTGTCCGGAGCCCCTTTGTCGTGAGAATTATTGACGAAGGCCCTTTTGTCGGGGGGGGGGGGGCTTATTGAATGGGCCGACTGGACGGACCGATTTGTCATGGACCGTATGGATGCGGTCCGCAGATAAAGGCTATCACTAAATCTAGGAATTTAAACATTTATAAGAATAATATCAGTGGCGTAGCTCGAGTTTGGGCTATCAGGGGCGAATATGATCTTTACCCGTCCCCTTCCAAGAAGAAAATAACTTTGCAGAAAATGCCACATCTCAATATGAAGAAAAATGTGCCGCCCCCCCCCCCCCCAGGACAGAAGGACATACCGTTCCCTCCGCCCCTACACCCCTACACCCCTGCCACAGATCTACCTAGAGGGCCTCCCTGCCCAAAGACAGATTTAATGGTCTTGTTTACAGTCATAACAGGTTTGAGTCTTCAATAAGACATTCCAGGAGATAATTGTTAAGACCAGCTGTGCTTTGTGTAAGCCGAGATCCTAATTGGATTTGAACAGATTGAGTTTATGTTAACAAAAAGATAGCGGTGCGCCTATGTATCTTGTTATCGATTATTTGTTTGCACCTGAGGCTGTCATCAGCAAAGTGTGTTGTGAGAAATAAGGAGAAAAATTTGACGGTTCTCTCGGGTCTTTTTTGTTGTTGTTTTGTTTGGATTGTCTTCGCTGCCGGTAAATTAGATTGTTGGGGTTAAAATAATGATCTGACAGCTGGCACTAAAGATTAGGAGTCAGATCTAACTTCAACTCTGTATTTAAAATACACATTTTTTTTTTTTTAAAAATATGTATATAGATATGATTTTTGACTAATATTTCACAGACATCACAAGGTTTAGTTACGTATATAAATTAATTGATCATTTTAAATTTCAGTACATATTTAAACAAACATTCTTAAATGTGTATACATCGTCGCTGTGAATGCAGATTTTGTAGATTAAATGTATGGCGGGCGGGGTTGAAGCTAAGACCCTAGTATGTCTAGAAAATAATAAAAATAACAAACTAACTCAATGAGAAAGATCAAAGTCAAATGTAATTCAGTAAAACAACAACACTTCAATCTCCGTAGTGTTTAGGACACCCTCAACATTTCAAATTTTGCTGAGTCCATTGTTTCCCAAGGTGCACAACTTTGTATTCTAATAAGTGCACTATAAAAAGAGCATTTAAAAAAAATCAAATAAACCTTTAGGAAAAAATAATTAAAACACGTGTCTATATATATAATTCGCCAACAAAGGTCAAACAACAAGACGAGTCAAACACCACGCAGGCTATTTATAGATACGCCAGAGTGTGGTTCAATAATGAGTTCACCAGCGCTTAAAATATAATTCCCGATAACTACGCTAAATGATATATATATATATATATATATATATATATATATATATATATATATATATATATATATATATATATATATATATATTTAATAACGCAATTGCGTTTGGTGCGTAATATTTCCTTTTCAGAAATGAAATCGTCTCAATTTAAGTTTTGTGTAAAAAATATTCGGTTTAAAAGTGGTTTGGACATGAGAATATTAATTTAGTTCATGGGCGTGAAATAAAAAGTGTTCAGTGACGTATGATGGGGGAAGGGGTGTAGCAAATATTGGGATTCTTAAATGTGCGTTACTTGAGTTCAGGTTTTGTCAGGTGACTTTAGTGCATGATTGAAAGTTCACGCTTTGGTATATCACAGTCTCAAACCCACCCCATTTGGACAACTGTGTCTTTCACGAAGTCTTCACTTATCTATGAGCAATTCTGCGGCATATGTTACGCAGCGGGTCGACTAGTATAACATAAAACACATTTATAAAGTCATCAAAAAAAAAGTCAGTAGTCGTTTCACGCAAACTGCTATTATGAAGAGATCTTTTATTTTTGACCAGGTCAGACAGAACTGGCGCCGGATCACATACAAATGAACAATGGAAATAAATTGATGAAAGTGTCTCAACGTTTCACGATGCACCTTAGAGGAAGTAATTTGCTCCCCCGGGGGGGGGGGCAACACGTCACACACTCTGGGCACCCCTGCGTTTGTCTATCGCATCCTACGGGCAACTAGCGCAACAGTCGCCTGCCTTCACCACGGGTGTTTGGAATGGTCCACAGCTTGGCTGCCCACAGCTCCTGGAAAAGCATATCGGCCAGCCATCATGACCACACTCACAAGTTTTGCATGGACTTTCCTGATACTCTTCGCCCGGCTGAAAATCGTGCAAACAATATTTAGTTTTGAGAGACCTTGGGCCCATTGTTTGGAGGATCATTTGTTCAGCAATTAATTATCATTTAAATTAGGAAACCTTCTTCTGTTTTTATGACGGTTAAATTAACATTATAATCAAGCAGTTAAGGATCATAGGTTTAGTAATGAAAACTCCACATGAAAAATAAATAGTTTTATTACGGGATGTTGAAATGATATATACGAACAACTTTATTTTTCTTTGTTCACCTAGTATTATTAAAAAAAAGTCAATTAGCCGGCTTGCTAGCCAACGTTGCTCGTATGGTATGCCCAGAGCCGACACGTTAAATTTAGAGACAGCCCTGCTCCTTTAAGTTTCTGTGCCATCTAATACGTTAAGTATTTGCCATATCACATATTTTTTGCCATGCAAAAATCCGGCGGTCGCAGGGGTTGCAGGGCCAACGCTACGGTCCTGGGCATGGGAAAATATAGACGTAGGTTACATCTGGTTCTTGATACGGTTATTTCATCAATAAAAATATAGGCCTATTATTTTACATTTAATTATTTCTCCACACCGCGGAGAAACCAATAACAATAACTAACAGTGTGCAGTTACAAATTGTAACACTTCAAAAATATCTCCTCATTATTCGTTTTTGTTCAAAGGAAAAAGAGGATTTTAAGTTAATATATATGTCCTTTTCATTTTTAAAAATGTTTCTATAAATCTCTATTACTTTACTCAAATGTTCTGAAATAAGATTTGAAGACAGCTTTGAAGTTTCTAAAAAGTTCTAAGTGAGTGTAAGGTGTTCTATAATTTATGATAGACAAATACTTAGTTTACTCTAGAAGCTTCTACGTGAATTGTTGCGGTATCCAACAGATTTTAATAGGACAACTTTTTTGGATAAATTGAGTTCATTATATAAACGTAAATTACTCACTGGTCTAAAACAAGAGTTCAATCCGTTAGACTCCGGAGTGAACGCTGACATTAATTTAGATGGTTGTAAAAACTAGTATATATATATATTACAATCTTAGCCTTCGATACAACAGTGTGTTTAGGTTTTAATTTAATAATTTCAACAATCACCTGGTATGTAACCCCATTGTGTACACAACTTTCCACCAGTAGCAGGAGAACGACCAATAGGATTGACACAGTTATATAATTCATCCTAACTGCTGATACCTGAAAACAGGGGACACAAAAATCATAGTTATTAATAATAATAATAATAATAATAATAATAATAATAATAGTAGTAAGACGTCTTATATAGCGCGGTACCCCAGCCAAGGGCTGGGCTCACCGCGCTGTACATAAAATTTTATCAAAAGAGACATAATTATGACATTAAAATAAAATACATTTATTCCTTACATTACTCAGACATTTTATTTACCGTTATCCATTTCACACAATTTTTCTAGGTGAGCGATCGCTTCCCGTGACAATCAAATCTGGCAAGAATTCAAAGCTTTGTCCACTATATTTAGTAATATAGTGTAATAACCGGCTATTTAATGATCCCCACAATGAAAAGAGGGGTTGGGTAAGGTGTTAAAACTAACAATGGACTGTAATATGTGAATGTAATGATGGAATTGCCACTAACGTAAGAAAACAGTTGAATAAACTACGTTCTATCTTTTATACAATACGGTATTTCACGTAATATCTTTGGCCAATTAGAATTTTCTAGAAAACATTTAATGTAAGTATAAGGATACTTGGTAACCCATTACTTACAATGTTTTGCTAATTATATTTTTTAAAAATACATAAATATCATGCAGAAGTGAGATAGTGCATGTTGCCCTCTAATAATACAGTTACCAACACAACTCACCATGGACTGTGTTGTAGTCTGACAGTTTCAAAAGTTTAAAATTTATGATCGCTTCAACACTATTAAATGTCCCGAACTGATTTAAACAATAATAATGTTTTTGAGCGCGTGGCATTCATAGGCTTATTTTACACCACCGTGGCATTCATAGGCGTATTTACAACACCGTAGCATTCATAGGCATAGTTACAGCACATTGAACCCTGTTTTCTTCGATCTGTTGAAAATGTATTTTTATTGGAACTCCGTCCAATTGTGATGATGGGGGGGGGGGGGCTGGAGGGAAGGAGGGAGGGAACTTCAATAAAACTTTTTTTTTTTTTTAAAACAGGTATGTTCGTATCCGGAAATAAGGGAACTTCAATAAAACTTTTTTTTTTTTTTAAAATAGGTATGGTCGTATCCGGAAATTAATACGAAACAGATTAGCACGAAGGAATTTTGTTCGAACGGAAATAATAAACACAATGACAGTAGTCCTATTTCGTACCAGCACATTGCTTGAAATGTCATCACAAAAAAAAAAAAATGTAAAAAAAATCTGCGCCAAAACAGCTAAACAAAACTAACGTCGGAGCAAACTTCCGTCCACACAATATACCTTCGTACTAGGTGCTTTCGAACAAATTTCCGGTAACCGCTGATGCCCAATTTTTGTTGCAAGCATTGAGATCCACATCTGCCTACACGTTTGTGCATTGAAAAAAGCCCCATTACAATAACAAGGAAACCTAGAAAATGTATTTGAGACTCATTTTAACAAGTTTCTTGTTCAATTTCAAAATCACAACAGAGTGTGATCGCTTCCTAGCAGACGATTACCAGCGATTCTCAAACCATGTTACAGAACACGATCAGTTGTAAACTAAGGGTGTAAACACCGCATTTTTTACCTCGGCAAACCGGTTAAGTTGTTTCATAAATCCGGTTTTAAACCTGTTCAAGGTTTTTACAAACAAGTCTCCGGCCCTGCAGGAAATGGACAGGAAAGATGGTCCAATACTATTTTTGGTAAGAAATCAATACATATTTATTTCGGGAGAGGGGGAGCATGGAGGTTGGATGTGGGGTCTTTGTTAAGTCCCCCCACCCCCACGGCTTGTTTTCTATATGTAATGCATTTCAAACCAGTGTTTCTTTCAGCCATTTCCCCCCGGTTTTTTAAAAGCATATATATATATATATTTTTTTTTTTGGGGGGGGGGCAGTGCCAGTTGCCAGTGGGCAGTGTCCCAGGCGTAGCTAAAGGGTGGCAGATGGGACATTCGTACCCGGTGTGCAGACTAGCGGGGGCACCAAAATGGGCTTTGATGGTATTGAATGGTTGAAAATAATTAGTTTTAGAATGGGGGGGGGGGGCGTAAAATGCATCTTGTCCCCTGACGCCAAACACTATAATTACGTCCCTCCCAGTGGCATAGATGAAAGAAAATCAGGTTGTTCAATCAGGAGTCACTTTTTCTATATAGGCAGGCTCGGCATCTGCAGACAAAATGCAGAGCTTGTAGAGTGAAAGGAAGAGCGGCAAAAATATTTGGCATATTGGCACTAATACTAGCTAGGCGACTATCTATCGGCACCAATACTAGCTAGGCCACTATCTATCGGCACCAATACTAGCTAGGCCACTATCTATCGGCACCAATACTAGCTAGGCCACTGTCTATCGGCACCAATACTAGCTAGGCCACTATCTATCGGCACCAATACTAGCTAGGCCACTATCTATCGGCACCAATACTAGCTAGGCCACTGTCTATCGGCACCAATACTAGCTAGGCCACTATCTATCGGCACCAATACTAGCTAGGCCACTATCTATCGGCACCAATACTAGCTAGGCCACTGTCTATCGGCACCAATACTAGCTAGGCCACTATCTATCGGCACCAATACTAGCTAGGCCACTATCTATCGGCACCAATACTAGCTAGGCCACTGTCTATCGGCACCAATACTAGCTAGGCCACTATCTATCGGCACCAATACTAGCTAGGCCACTATCTATCGGCACCAATACTAGCTAGGCCACTGTCTATCGGCACCAATACTAGCTAGGCCACTATCTATCGGCACCAATACTAGCTAGGCCACTATCTATCGGCACCAATACTAGCTAGGCCACTGTCTATCGGCACCAATACTAGCTAGGCCACTATCTATCGGCACCAATACTAGCTAGGCCACTATCTATCGGCACCAATACTAGCTAGGCCACTGTCTATCGGCACCAATACTAGCTAGGCCACTATCTATCGGCACCAATACTAGCTAGGCCACTATCTATCGGCACCAATACTAGCTAGGCCACTGTCTATCGGCACCAATACTAGCTAGGCCACTATCTATCGGCACCAATACTAGCTAGGCCACTATCTATCGGCACCAATACTAGCTAGGCCACTGTCTATCGGCACCAATACTAGCTAGGCCACTGTCTATCGGCACCAATACTAGCTAGGCCACTGTCTATCGGCACCAATACTAGCTAGGCCACTGTCTATCGGCACCAATACTAGCGATCATTTTCATCGTGATGGAGGGCAGACATCGAAATCAACTCAGCCAAGCCAACTAAGAGAGCATCTATCTCTGGCAGGAAATGCTTTGGAAGAAGTGGACGCCTTCACATACTTAGGCAGCACCATTGAAATTCGTGGTGGATCCGAAGCGGATGTCTGAGCTAGAATTGGAATGACTAGGCCAGGATTTGTGATATTAAAGAAAATATGAGAGTCAAAGGAGCTGACTCTTCACCAAAGCCAGAATTTTTAACACAAATGTCTAAAAAGTCCTACTCTATGGAGCCGCACATTGCAGAACAACATTAAGCCTCACTCAGAAAGTACTGACCTTCATGAGCACTTGCCTTAGAAAGATCCTGAACATCAAATGACCAAACACCATCATAAACAAAGGCTTACAAGAAAGGATATACCAGGAGCCTATTGCTGAAGACTTCACAATGAAGAGATGGTGGTGGATAGAGCACAATCTCTGAAAACCCCAGATAACATCACCAGACAATCCCTAACATGAAAATACATGGAGACGCGAGTTAGATGCAGACACGCAAAGTATGAAATACACCTAGAAGCAACTGAAGAGGAAAGCCCCGGACCGAGATGAATGAACAATTCTTGAAGACGGCCTATGCCCCCAACGGGGTAAAAGGCATAAATAAGTAAGATGAATCTTGAGTGATACAAAAGACTGGGGAGCCTTCTCCCCAAGATTTTATTTATTATTTCAAAACCACCAGATGCCCTTTGGAGAATAGTTGAATTCAATGTTTCTAGCAGATTTATTTGATGGGGGGGGGGGGAAATACATGTTTAAGGGTTGGGGAGGCATATTGGTGCCAGTGCCTTACAAAAACTGAATTCACCCCAGGGTAATCATTTGGCACAAGCTTATATTCAAAGTCATACCGTAACACCGATTAGCGTCAGGGAATGGGGCGCATATATTGAGGGCGATGAAGACAGTCGCACAAATTCAAAAGGCGCATACTTAAATTCGGTGTTTCTTTCAGATAATGTTGAGGTGACGTTTCAAAATTTTATGTGGGAAGCGCCAAAATAATAATTATCAGAGACACCTTTAACGATGCACCCGATGGGAAATGAACTAAATTCATTCCAGTTCTGGCGCCCTTGAGGTTATGCATTTTCCCTAGCTTATTCTCGCTTCCCAAATTTTTGTAGTTCCCAGAAAATTTTGGTAAATTCAAAATACAAGGATTCAATTTTTAGTAAATAATTTAATTTTAGATTTGCGAAATACTACACTTAGTTGAAGAGAAACAGAAGAGAGGCCAGTTTCAAAAAGTATTGGTGTCAGTCACTGAACCATAGAAACATAAACAGCCGCCATCTGTCATGTCGTGACACGTCTGCCAATTATTATAACAAAGATGGCGGTCATGAAGGAAAACGAAGTAGTGCAAAAACACAATACAATGAGTGGCGTGGATTGTGTAAATTTACCCACCTTATAAGTAACGCCATTGTAGTGACATCCCTTGGTTAGGTCTGACGTAACCAACACCAGCAGTGACACATAAAACAGGACATTCATCTTGGGAACACTGAGTGACTTGGTCAATTTTGATGTCGTTTCTGAAATAAAGTAAGAGTGGGAAAATGGCGTTTAACAATTTGGAAGCGAGAGTTACTTTCATGTGAAGACTTAACATACATAATAATCCTTAATACGTCACGATGTGAACGGAGGAAAATAAAGACACACCATTTTAATTTTAAAAGTTGCATCCGACCCTTTTTCTTTTTTTTTGACTTCCTTGAATTGATGTACGCATCAATTGTGTGTATTTAATTTTCAAACAAAATATTCTATCCGCTTTTATAAACCAACATTGACGTTTTAAAGATAACTGTAGATATTCCAAATTGTTCTATTGTTGCTTGAGAGCTATTTATCTTAACTTCCCTTTAATAAATAAGGACCAACAAAATGTCTCTAATGTTGAAAATATTTACCTTATTTTACTAGAGCTTCCAGTCTATGCTAAAAGAAGGGAATACATAGAACAACCCCTTTATACCACAGAACAATCTCTTTATACCATGGAACAATCTCTTTATACCATGGAACAATCCCTTTATACCATATAACTATCCATTTATACTATAGATCTTTCTCTTTATACCACAGCACTATTCCTTTATAGCAGAGAAATATCCCTTTACACATTTACTCACCACGCTTTACCCTAGATGCAGAAAGCATTAGCGTGACTGTTGTATAACCGGATTGTTGGTTACAACTTACTGCAACGTGTGTTAGTGGTAAACAGAAAGTTTTAACGTGAACATGTTTTTAAAGCAAATGGTTACAGACATAACTGAGTGCTTAAGTGTTGCCTTCGTTGTGCTGAATTTGATCTCGTTTTGTGCTCATGGGACAGGAAGACGGTTATTGAAAGACTAGTAGCATTGTTCGTAGTTATGTTTAGGGATTGAAGTGAAAATGTTACTAACAAATGCGTATTTCAGATTTTAAAGTCTGAAATGGAAATCCTC